AGACCAGTTATAAAGAATCAATTTTGACACGTCGCTAAAGACCCCGTAGTCGATGCGACGCTAAACCCCCATTAAAAAAAAAAAAAAAAAGGAATCCAGATTTTTTTTTTTCTCTCTTTCCTTGAGATTCGCGTTATTGCGATTCGACTGTATATTTCTCGATTGAAGAACGAATAGTCGCAAAGAAATAATCGTTATTGCGAAGGAAAATACTAAAACGCAGCGGCGGCCATAACTTAGGTACGGGAACAAATAACAGGTAGATTCGCACGAACCTTTTATTACTTTACTAACCGCAGTACGACAACAGAAAGTTATGTCTACACAATCTGTGCACCTATTTATTGTACTTTTTTATCTTTTTCTCGTTATTGCGTTAGATTCTCTCGCCCTTGAAATATTCGTTTCCTTTTTATGAGAGCTGCTGCTTTCAACGACTTTGTTCCCCAATTTCCACGCTGTTTTTTTTTTTTACAATTAATTAATCATTAATGTACAGTTAATTGCGAATTGGTCGAACGAGAATGAAACGTCCTGTATAATCATACTTGTAATTCATACAACTGGAAAGAATCGCTTCGGCAGGATCGTGTCGAACTCCCAAGCGAATAAATATTCACGTGTTCATTCGGCGATTACTATTTCGCGGCGTGTGAGAAATTGGCGTGGCGAGCGAACGCCACGTGTCGCCATGTGCTAATTAGAGCGACTCGCAGGTGATGGCGCACGAATCATTCGATTAGTCGGAGATCCGACCGACCGAGAAATTCGATTTCCATACGGGCAAACGATTCTCTGGCATTTTTCTTTTTTTTTCTTTTTTTTTCTGTTAAGCCGATCGGTTGCGACGATATTTCTCTTGTGTGATCCAGGATCCACGTATTGGCGAGCAAAACGAAGTGTCGTATTCTTTTTTAGATTGGGATCCAGCGGCGCGATCGATTCGATCCGTAGCTCAATCCTCCATAGGCAAACTGAATCGTTTGTTTCAATGGCGAATTTTTCGAGGCAAATTTCACTTAAAAAGAACTGACTGCGTAATGTTGCAAAGACATTATTGAGTGATTCATAGATTCTTTTTTTACAATTTTTGATAGCTTGAAGCATGAACGATTCAGCTTTCCCACATTAATACGGTTTTTCTGATAGTTAATAGACTTTTGTAAATATATACGGTGAACATATATGATATATATATATTTTATATATGAGACTAAATGTCTATATGATAGAGACGTATAGTCTCTATATAACAGAGATTTGAAAATGCAAAACTATATAACATACTATTTATAATGTTTAATAAATGAAACAAATTTTTGCTCTATTCCTATTAAATACCTTGCAATATCTATATTTCTGTATTTCTATTCCTATATTGTTTCGAACTTGAACAATATAACCATACCAGTCGTGTTTCATTATAATGTTAATGAAATTTCAAAATGTTTCACGCACAGCATACATTACAAAATAATAATATATTATTTTAGTAGTATAAGATACTATTAAAATACGAAGTATATATTTATATTAAATATCTTATAATTTTATTTCAAGCTAGACCAATATAATCATAGTAGTCTCATTACGGCATCAATGAAATATCGAACACGAACAATACGTTCACAAGAGGTAAATAAAATGTTCCAGTACTTTCGCGAACAACCTACACTTTCCTTAATAAGAAAAATTACTGTTTCCTTTGCGATAAACAAAATAATAAAAAAATAGATTCAACATTCGACCGAAAGTTTGAGCACGTCGGAGATTCACGTTAGTAGTTGAGTGAACAAGCTCGATGTGCGTCTGGTGGAAGAACAATAACGACAGCAATAATGAGGACAGGCTGAACCAAAGGGGACAAACGAGCGTCGCGGGCTCTTAAATAAAATTTTCTAGACGATCGTGCCTCGTTCAGTTTCAGCCTCGTTTCACGTTCCACGTTCCGCCCTTTATTTGCCGGCTATCGATGGAAAACTCAATCGGCCGTTTCTCAATTCGGCCAAATTTACAGGACGATCGTGCCAGTTCCACTTCCAACTCCGCGACATTTCACCTCTTTTCTTTTCCCATTGTTTCTTTCGTTACATTCTTTCTCTCTCTCTCTCTCTCTCTTTCTCTCTTTTTACTTCGTCACAGAAATCACGAGGAAGCAAACAATGTGCAATTTATGTCGATTCGTTCGAGTTTCAAACAGACAAAGCATCATACCCTCTTTATTCTAGAGAATGAACTGTCTCGTTGCTCAAATTAATAGTTTTTTAAATTATAATGTGACCAGGTGTGCAAGGATTTTTGTATAATTCGTAAACTTCTTTTCAAGAAATTTTTGTCCACGTAAAACGACTAATAGTTTACTTATCAAACAATTGTCCCTGCAGTTCAGTTGGTAACATTAAACAATAAAATTAATCATTTCGTTCGATAATTCAAAATCATTTCTCTTAAGTACATTGTTCAAGATTGTTATAAATTATTAGTTAAAATGTTTAAGTAACGCTTAGAAATGTACAAAATATTACGGATGAGAATTTATTGTTTAATTGTTTCAAGTAAATTATTAGAAATATTAGATAATGTTTCAAACAATCAGAATAATCAGAAATATTATTTAAAAATTCACTTTAAAAATTTAATCGATGTGAACACGATGAAGGCTCAACTTATAATGACCTCTTTCGACTTCCGATAGTCTGTCAATACTTCCAAAAACACTTTCTCTATTACAGTAATCAATAATTTTGCAGTTTTCAGGGTTTTTGTTCCTTTTGAAGTATTTTGTTCTACTTCAACGTGAGTTTAATATAATTTTTACTTTATTATATTATATTTTTATTTTATTATATTATTTTATTATATTATATTATTTTATTATATTATTTTATTATATTATATTATTTTATTATATTATTTTATTATATTATATTTCTATTTAATTATATTATTTTATTATATTATTGCTGTTTTAGCGAAGCTTGTTTAGATTTCGAGGGCACGTTCTCTCGTCTCAAAACAAAGTGCAAATTTCTTTTCTTTTCTTACACTTGTTCTCCTTTTTTTTTTTTTCTTTTCTTTTGGAGGGGATGGTCTCGTTTCTCGCAAATAACACAGTGCTACACCACTGGTTTTTAAATTACGAATAAAATCGTTATGAGCATGGTTCTGTTGTTACTGTTGTTCTTGTTAATTAATATCGTGGCCGCGTTAATTGCCAGAAAATTCCCTACCTCCGAGTTACCCTCCGAAGTAAATACACAAAATGCTATTCTTTCCTCGCGTATTCTGTTGGTCACCGGAATAGCAGTTCTCATTTGCGCAAATTTTCTTGCATCGTGCAACAATTAGGGTGCATAGTTGTGCATAGTTACTTCGTACTGCAGAATGTACAGAACTTTTGTCTACAATGCCACATCAGAGTAGAGTGAACGTCTGTTCTATTAAACTATGTCATTTATTATAGAAGGTAATTTCAAAGGAACTGAAAAGTACGAAAATTACATAAATATTTAATTTTTACTTTAGAGTCTATTAAACTTTTAATTACGTTAAATTTCAAACTTTCTTGATCTATTGGTGAATCTAATGGTAAATTTTATCTTCTTGCAATCAATATCTGGTAATTCTGCATTCTTACGTCTTTTTGTATTGAATTCTTTGGAATGGTAAATCAAATTTTCACTGAATAGCTTTTCAGAGTTGATGCCGATGTAATTAGACAGTCTCTTTGATAGTTTCTTTAGATTTGAATATTTTTACACTATTATTCCAAAATTACGATCGATCGCTCGTCCGCTTATTCTTTGAGACAAAAACCATTCACGATGTGTCTCGTACCAAATATTCGATTAATTACACAATTCAAACATTCTTCATTCGCGCTGCAAACGACTCTTCGTTCTTCATTGGTTCTGCCGCAGATTCTGTCGTTTGACGTTCGAGAATCTCTCGAGTTCTCGAAACTCGAAACTTCCGTTGGAGTTCGGAGTGATGGCGAAAGGACGAAATATCGGAGAAAGCTGGCGAGCCTCGATTATGAACGTCTTTGTCCACCACTTGTTCTCAATTACCTCGAGCGAGAGAATTTCCAAATGTTTTCACGATTATTTTGATATGATTGAGAACAACTGCGTCTAAGGGTTTTCTCGTAGAGCGCGACGGTGACTCGTTTAAACTTTTCATCAATCGAATCGGTTCCTCTCGTTTCCAATCGAGAAACAAAGAGAGAGAAGAGTAGAATCTTGATAGTATCGAGGCGCAATCAGCGCCGAGCGAAGGAAGCCTCTGAAATTAGTGTAATGCGACCGCTTAATTGCAATCAGCGTCGCCGGCCCGGCCAGTCGCGGTGTCCTTTAATTATTCGATATCGTAATTGATCGTTCGACGGTGGGCGATTTCAGCGTCAAAGCGCTCAACCGCGATACTACAATCTGTTGTTGCCGCGGACAACGCGTTCCGCAGCTCCTTCAGCGATCTTCTTCGGAGGCTGGACGATTTAACGAAGAGAAGAAAATGGAAAAGTAGAACGAATGAGTTCGTTATCGGTTCGACATTTATCATTAATTCGATGATACCTTGGAACTTGTATCTGAATTAACTGGAAGATAAAAATGTTGTTTTATTAAAATCCTGCTTTTCTTCGATTTGTTATTTTTAATTTTGTGCTAAATATTTGTAATACTGTTGTGTCACACGATATTATATTATTATTATTATATTATATACGATGTTATATTATTGTTATATTATTATATTAATAATAATTGTATATATTATATAATATATATATAATATATGTTATATATATATTATATATTATATTATTATATTAATAATAATTGTATATATTATATTTATATAAATTTATAATATTTTGAACATATATAAATTTTATATATATAATATTTCTAATTTATATAAATTTATAATATTTTTAATATTAAATATTAAATAATATATTTTTAATATTAAATATTAAATAATATATTTTTAATATTTTTATTATTTTTAATATTAAATATTAAATAATATATTTTTAATATTTTTAATATTAAATATTAAATAATATATTTTTAATATTTTTAATATTTAATATTAAATGATATTATTATACTATATCATATACAACATGCTTAGATACTAATCCTAGGACCACGAAGAATATTTTTGAACAAAATAATTTCTCTTCAATTTCAATTTGGATTCAGAGAAAAATAAATGGGAGAACCGAAAACAGATAAAAATCTGTACTCGATTCGAAAATTCGATCAATAAAAGGAAAACTGCCAATACAAGGAAAACGAAGACTAATAAGAGCAGGGGAAGAGTAGTAAGATTCATTCTTTGGGACCGGACGATCTTTACCTGCTTTCTCATCGCAGCTCGATGAGAGGGAAGAGTACAGAGTCAACTGGCAGAGTGCTCGTTACAGTTTCTTACAATCTCACCAGCGAGATTAACTGATTTAAAATCGAACAGTTGCTGAAGGATCGAATCTCGAGCATCTCCTTCGATTCCTTCGCCGACGAAGGAAATCGAAAGAAGGAACGAGGGATTGGAAGTGGACTTGAAGTGGATAGAAATTGCGATTTCTCTCTCCCAACCCGTGTAGTTGTAGAATTGTTCTCCGGCGAGATGCAAATTTAAATTCGAAAACGAATTTTTCGCTTCTTTTTTCGCTTGTTAAAACATAAATTGAACAATTATCTCCGTGACGAATTTGATTTAAGAATACAGAGTACTCTCTGGTCATTGTGTTGGTGCCACTCGAAATTTTCAACGTTTTAAGGGCTTTTATAGACAAATTGAAGAGCTTGAATAGAATTTAATTACAAGTTTTATTAAAGTTTATGTATATATATTAATGATTCGTGTGATTTAATAATAATACATGAATTTTTAATCATACATGAAATTAATATATTAAATTAATTTAGTTCACAAGTATTTCAGTCGTACGTTAAATTAATAGAGTATAGTAATTTATAGCATGATTTTTATATCAACAATTTATATGAGTCTCTGAAAATGTATAAAGTAATGGTCATATAATATAAATTGGCATTATTATCATCACAAATTTATGAATTACATTGCGCAGAAACTTAATTATTTTTCAATTTCACGAAAGATAATATAAATTCATAACATTTTCACGAGTTAAAAGGAGATCATACATATAAATAATGGGCATTGAATTAAAACTCAGAATTTTTAACTTTTCAAAGCTTTGAATAGAATTTAATTACAAGCTTTGTTAACTATTAATAAACTTGTCGAAATTTTAATGTTCGAGGCTCAATCATAATCAAAAAAAAAGAAATCAGTACAGTTTTAAGATTTCGACGTTGAAAATTCATGAAAACTATGATGAAAAAAAGATTTTCAATATTTTCAAGGTTCAGTAAAATAGTGAAATAAAATCATACATTCCTCACGATATATTTGTCCTGTAATCGTGATAAACATTATCATTATTACAAATTTATCCAACAGTCGCGGGATTTCCCTTCGCCACGATTCTTTTCGCACCTGTTCCAACCGTCCACGCGGCCATCGTCATTTTTAATTAAAAGCCGCGGCCGGCTATCGAATTCAAAGACTCATAATGAAATTCTAGGATCCGTGGAAATCCTGGTTTCGTTGGCATTTCGTGCTGAGCTTTGTCGTCTGTTTCTAGAACGGTCGGTAATGTGCTCGAGATTAAACGCCAAGCGACAAACGCGCTTCAATTTCGGCCCAGCAAACGCGACACGTTTGCACATTCGGTCGATAATGAACTCTGCCTGTTCGGCGGAATTTACAGCCAGAACGTTATGAACGTTAGGCCTGCCGGGCTAACGCGGGTACAATTGAAATGAAAATCGATACCGACGTGGATTCCCCGTTCAATAACAGCGTGGTACAGCTTTTCCTTTATCAGAGATAGTAATCCACGGGGTTAATCGATGATATCTTTGTTATCGTCTGCTATCGAGGATAGCACCAACAAATCGAAAATTAATCGATAATCAAGAACGTTCTGAACGTGGCAGATAAATTAGCGTATTATGATAAGAGGGAGGATTTGCACTTACATGGACGAAGCTGAGGAAAACAGAAATCTCGGGCAGAGATTTATTTTTTATCGGTTCAAGATTGTGATTCAACTATAGAATTTTTTGACTGGATTTTTACGTAGATTTTTACACGTAAAATTTTTATCACATTTATATTTCTGAAGGCGCAGATCGGAAAACTAGGTATAACATTTGGCGCGTGAAACAATTTTTCAACTGAGACTAAATTTTTTTCAATTATACTTTCAAGAATATTCGCAGTCCAATTATAACAACTGACACTCTGCTTCGTATATTTTTTTCTTTTTTTATATTTTGCATTTTTTTGCAACGCATAAAAATCAATTTATGACATAGACTGAGGAATTTGTGTTTTTGTGGAAAATATAATTTAAAAAATACGTTGTAACTGTAATTCAGGAAATAATACGGATTCGTTGCTTTCCTCCTTTCTGAGATTTTTACCTGTTTCACTCTTTTCTTCTTTCATTGAAGTTTCCATTTCTTTATCAGTGTTTTGTAAAAATGTGAATTGGTGTAAAAATCTGCGAGCCAGTTACGAACTAGCCAAGCACAAGAGAATCGTATGAACTGATAAGAACAGTTCCGTGTTTAGTATCTCAGTGTCACAGTGCCTAAAATTTCCATCGAGTTTCCGCGAGAGCCGTGTGAAATCTAGCGAACATTTGATTCCACAAAATAATATTACATTACGAAATGTATAAAATTCCCGTATACGATTAAAATTGAAAAAAGAAAAAAAAAAAGAAATACTAGACGACCAAAATATTAAAGGAAAAGGCGTAACGAAAAATATATCTGCAAATTACAAGTCCACGAATAAATAAACAATTCTAGTTCTTTAAAAAAACATATTACTAAATATTAAATATTACTATATTGAAGATATTTCTATTATATATTTGGCTATATTTGTAAATTACAAAAATAAAAATGAATAAATAAGCAATTCTAGTTTCTTTTTTTTTTAACGTTTCTATTCAAAGGCGCAACGAATGCCGATAAAACTGATCGGATTCAACGCGAAACGATAGATATCGTTCGATTACAGGTACCGACCAGTCATCCAGCACGGCTATTCTCCTTTATGAACCCGCTGGCTATTCAAATCTGGCTCTACGTTTTGGCTGCGTACGTCCTCGTCTCGGTGATGATGTTCGTGGTTGCGAGGATCAGCCCGTACGAGTGGAACAATCCCCATCCCTGTCACGCAGGCTCCGAAATCGTTGAGAATCAATTTTCTCTGGCCAACAGTTTTTGGTTCACCATTGGCACACTGATGCAGCAGGGTAGCGATCTGAACCCCAAGGTATGCTATTTTACTCTTTCCTCGAGATTGACATTGTCTTTTATTATTTATTGTCTATTGACTCTTCAGAGATGGCGCTTAATGTTGACGATTTAGACTTTTTGATCATCTTTATCAGATTTGTCTTATTTATCAAGGGTCGATATCGCATTTGCAATTAAATAAAAATTATAAAATATTATTGAAGATGATAATGGAAAGATATTGACCAATTTCTCAGAATTTTCTTCTTCGTAACGATATTGAAAAATAAATTTTGGTAATGCAATTGCGACGAGTTATCGACCATTCTAACTGCCAAATTTGTAACACCAAATGTATAATAATTTAAACTGAACCGAAAGCTACAGAAAGCACTTGCACATCATCATTTATTATAGAGGTTACGTACATACTACTTAATTCGGGTTCGAGAATATTAAATTTCGCGTAATTTGATAGTACGTACCTTCATATTGCTACAAACATTTAATATGTGAAATATAGAGTGTGATATGACATGAAGTAAAATATATATAATATAAAATGAAATATAGAATAAAATAACAATCTTCATTAAATCATTAAAAACAGGGAGTACTTATTGGCAAATGTTTTTTATTATTACCGAAATCTATCCTGTAAAATATGAAGGGAAATTCCATTATTATATCTTCCATCTAGACTCTATGATTCTATAAAATTTCATGAAGTTTAATTATATTATATTTATTATATATTAATAATTATAAGTTATATTACATTTATAATATTATGACAAAGTATTGCCTGTAATTTCATCCTCATTTAAAATTTTTCAAACTCAATCAGAATTCAATTGCAATTATTACACTACAAAGATATTATATGAAAATTAAAATTATTGTATTCATAGTACAATAATTTTAATTTTCATGTGCGTTGAAAAAGGAAGGAACTAACCTATCTCCTCGCATAATTACCTTTTATCAATTATCAATGAGAGTGTCAGAAATTATTAACAATCATTGAAGAATAATTTTTCTTGCAGTTTAAAAGACAAACTGAATCTCTTCATTATAATAATCACCGGTTCGTAGCGTTATTGTAATTCCATGATAATTCTCTCCGCGATTTTAATAATTTTTCTAGTTATGCCGAAAATAAATCGCCATCGTTTCGTGAAAACGAGTGATAATTTATCGATGTGAAAAAAAATCGACGGTATCAATTTATCGTGCCTATAGAATTTCTCCGTGTCTGTTCGTTCGGCTCGTGTAACATTTTCGGTAAACGCGATCCGAAGTGAAATATAAATTGCACCGTCGAGAGATTCGATGACTTCATTTCGAAAGCATCGACAGCTATAATTGCCGAATTTTCGGTGCAAATAAATCAATTTAAATTAAACCGATTATCGAACTCCTCTCTGGCCATATATCTCTGGCAACGTCTCCTGCATCGGACACGGCATATTAAATGCAAATGGAAAAGTACGAAGGTGGCCGGCCAAACGGCGACAATATCATCAAACGGAGAATTTGTTTTATGTTGTTTCGTCCGTCTGTTGATAAATATCGATACCAATGACCAGAAAACGTGTCTCCTGGCGGCCTCGTCGTTTCGATCGATTTATTTCTCACTGAATGAAGTAGTTACGATTTTAGAAACAATACTATGCCATCTGGTTATTTAAACTATGGAGAACTATGTATCGTGAGTGATGAGGAGACCGTCAAGAATAAATGAATTTTGTTCTGAAAACAAAACAAAAAAATAGTGTGATTCTATAGATTCCAAGAAATAAAATATGTGAGAATTTTTCTCGGAAATTATGATAAATGGGATTAAATAAGAATATTAAATGAGGTGTGATTGTATCATTTTCATCAACTGATGGTTCTACTATTCGGAATACTATAATGCTATCCAAAAGAAACTTGATATCTTTTTACTTAATTTTTAATCTAATTTTGTAATTAATCTTAATATTTTATTTAATCTTTTGTTTAATCTATTTTACTTAGTTAATATTTCTTTTTATATTTCTTACTTAATATTTTATTTAATCTATTTTACTTAGTCTTTTATTTAAACCTCATTGGACATGTTATCATACTGTATGTAGGGAAGCTGTCGAAAGCTTTTTAAAAAAAATATAAAAAATATTTCACTTTGCTCAATGAAATCTTTATTATATGCATTATACAATCACTGTCAAGTTTAATTTTCTAGAGATCTTTTTTAATAATAAACTCTACTATAAATCATTGCGCGATCCTTAATAGGTTTTGGTTATTTTAAATATTATTTAGAAACATAGTTAATTATTTTATAACAGATACAATTAATTTTATTTTACGATAAATTTCATAAATATAAATTGTTGCCCGGTCCTTAGTACGTTCCGGGTTAAATATACTTATGGAGAAGAAATAATTAGTCGATTGACATTGACCTCTGCTTTCTGCTGCGACTCTTTCAATTTTAAAGACACGAGGATGCAAAACTTTGGAAGCACCTTCGAATAAGCAGGTACTTCGTCCTCTTACTCCATCTAACGGCACGATATTTTCTATCTCTGAGACGCGATGCAGAAAGGAAGACACACCAGAATCCTCGAGTTCCCAAACGATCTTCGAGCTGTCCGTTCGAGGAGAAGCTCGAAGAAGTCTCGTCGCATTGTTCGATTAGCGGCGACGTGGAACGATGGCGATCGGCTCGTTTCATTAAGCAGAGTGAATTAACCGGCTCTCGGAGACTTCGCTCGCAGACTTAGAGAAGCGAAATTGCGCCAAAGAGATAATAGAATCTCGACGCTCCGAAGCCACGGTGATTCGAGTTTATCGATGGAGTTGTGGCGTCCGAATGTTCACGTGGTTGTGTGCGTGTGTTGAAGGCGGCGTGTTATAAAATTTATGAAAGCACTGATAGAAAATGATAGAAGAAATTTCCTAGCGTTAGATACTTTAGGTTCCCTTTCGATAAATGAAAGAAATTGTTTTATTGTATATTAACGATATCTCAGTGACGTTCTACGAATTTTCTTTACGCATTTCATACGTTGTGATAAATTTCATAAAATTCCATAATCCGTTGATCTTCATTAAATATTCGTTTCAATTTGCGATCTGCGATTATTTTCGTGGTTGTTTAAATGGAAGAAATTTGAGAAATGATAGAACCTGTTTGCCATTTTTTTGATAATGAACCTCATTGTGCGGTGAACGTGTCATTAATGCGCAGTCTAATCTGAATAAAAATGATCATATAAGTTAACAATAGAAATCAAATCATATAGAACAGAATGATCAACATTATTATAATATTCGTTCATTTTTAAAGGAATATTAAATGGCACCTAATAAATTGGACACAGTAAAATCTGACGTGGGACTGAAAATAGTTTCCAACAGCATCGTGTGTATTGTGTGTTCTTTCAGCCGTGAATTTCCCTTTTCACTTTACAAAATATAATTATTGTCCGACATTAGGTGTTATGTTATTCCTGATTACAGAAACTCTCCCTCCTGTGCATAAACTTTTATTACTCTCAGCGATAAATTGAAAATCGATAGTAGTCCCAGGAGAGTGATAACGTTGATAAATTTAATCAGGCAACGAGCACGCGAATCGTGGGCGGTATATGGTGGTTCTTCACGTTGATCATCATATCCTCGTACACTGCCAACCTGGCGGCGTTCCTTACGGTGGAGAGGATGATAACGCCCATTGAAAATGCTGAGGATCTCGCCAGCCAAACGGACATCGCTTATGGTACCCTCGATAGTGGAAGTACCATGACATTCTTCAGGGTAATCTTCTTTGGCATTCAGTTTTCATTTAACCGCTAAAGAATCAGAAACTAACGTCTAGAATTAGAAAATGAAGTAACGATTTTCTGAAATTTAACATTAATCAAGACACTGAGCTAAAAGTGTTTAAAAACTTCTATGTTCACATATCGAGACAAAGCGACAAATCTGAAAATGTATGTGGAAATTGACATTTGCTACGGACATATATTTAGTAAACAAAATTATCACAAGCATAAAAGTGTTAAAAATGCTCCCTGAATATTCAGAGTTAATTGTTTATAATATTTTCGCGATCTCCATACGAAATATATACTTGTATCAAATATTTTATATAACACGTAAAACGATAATTCCTCGAAAAGTTCGAACGCTTTCGTGAGCAGCTGTACAAGTAACAACTCTGATAATTCAAAGGATTCGATGATCGAGACATACAAGAAGATGTGGCGGTTCATGGAGAACAAGAAGCCATCCGTGTTCGTGCCTACTTACGAGGAAGGAATCCAAAGGGTTCTTCAGGGTGATTACGCTTTCTTAATGGAGTCGACCATGTTGGATTACATCGTGCAGAGAGACTGCAATCTGACGCAAATTGGCGGGCTTCTGGATAGCAAAGGATACGGGATCGCTACTCCCATGGGTGAATTACATCTTCTTTACATGTCTATTGAATAGATATTCCGAGATCGTAACGCTTTTGCCGTAAATTTCTTGCAGGCTCTCCGTGGCGAGACAAAATTTCCTTAGCGATCCTTGAGCTTCAGGAGAAGGGTGAAATTCAGATGCTGTACGATAAATGGTGGAAGAGCCCTGGCGACACTTGCATGAGGACTGAGAAGGGCAAGGAGAGCAAGGCGAATTCCTTGGGAGTGGACAATATAGGTAATTTTCTTAAAGAAACTAATTATTAATTAATTTAGTTATAATAATAATTGTTATATAATAATATATAATAAATGTATAAACTATATATATATATACTATATATAATAATAATAATTTATTATTAATTAATTAATTAATTTTTATATATATAATTAAATATATTAATAATAATTTATTATTAATTTATTGATTAATTAATTAAATTGGATAGAAAGAACATTTGTGTAACTGGACTTTTATCATAGAAAATTATAATTATAATTAATCGTATTATGAAAATTTTATTGTAGAAAATTCAAAAGTGCAAAAAGCCCCCGAGAATGCACACAGTATGAAAAAAGAATATAGTGTAATGCTTTCTATAATATTTACTGCGTATAAGACAATTCTATTTCTTTTTATTATGTTCACAAAATTTGATCTTAGGACACTTTTTATTTCTGATACATTCAGCACTTACTGTAAATAATACAATTTTATAAACTTTTATAACATATGAATGCTCCACAGATTCTTTATCATATAAAGATATTATATTATTTATTATTATAAAGATATTATATTATTTTGAAGGGTTTGAAATGGAGATGATAGTGCGAGGATAATGTAGGAAGTGATGATGTGGGTAAGGTGAGGAAAGGTTGTAGCGTTTCGTCTCAGAGTCGCTGCCTAGACTCATCAGTGGGGCTGATGGCAGCGACTCCTTACCCCAGACGCTTGTTTTTCTAACTACTCGCTAGGCTGGACGGTCACCCATCCTAGCGGTGTTCCGCACTCTGTTTGCTTAACATCGAATATCGGTTGACTTCGACGCTAGGCGCACAGCCACTTGCGGCTTGTACGAGTGAGTGTTCGAAACTCGTACTCGAGGGACTCTAGGCCGCTACAATTTATTATTATAAAGATATTATATTATTTAATTTTTCGAGTTTTGAAATATTTTGTCCTGAAACTTTTGAACGAGGATTAGATTTCCGCGAGCACATGCTTCAGCAAGAATTATTTTCAGTTTTCACTCGAGACACCCTATATATTTTAACGGAACACGAACCATTTAATCTTCCCAACACGTTGTTTCTCTGTTTCGACTTTTCTGTCGCTACCATCTTCACTCGAATCGCGTCGAACCTCTTCGACCAGCGAGAAATTCGAGGAAACAGCGTCCTGTCCGCGACTAGGACCAAATGAATTTTTACATTTGCTGGAGGGTAAGCTTCTTGTGCTGTCTTTTAGGTGGAGTGTTCGTTGTACTGCTGTGCGGTCTGGCATTCGCCGTGTTGATCGCGATTTTCGAGTTCTGCTACAATACCAGAAGGAACATGCCGGCGGAACGGGTAAATAATTTTGTTTCTCATCATACTGCGAATATGTTGCAGATCTTGATCATTGAATCGAGATCATTCACGATTTTTAACGTCTCACTTGTGTATGTCTAATAAAATTAACACATCTGAAGGCAATTTCATCGCAAGTGTTATTAACATGGTACGCTATGCATTATTAAATTGTCTCCGTATATAAATGTTGGACTATCTACAGATAATATATAGAAATATATAAAATAATATTCAAAGTAACATTATAATACAAATTTAAATTCCGTTTTTTTAATTATACTGACAAGAATGTATTTACTTTACGCTAGAGTTACAGAAAATGAACGAATAATAACCTCGCCTTTCTACATATTGACACGATGATTATTATTTTTTGAAATGATCAAAATAAAATAAATTCTTTTTTTTTCATGCATTCTAACTACGAAAAGAAATTGGAAAGATTCTCTTAATATTATTCACTTTTTGTTATTGTATAATTTTATAAAATTTAGAGATCAAAGTACCTGTAACATTGCGACGAATCTCTATAATTTAAAACTATCACGTTTAAATTGCATTCAAACTTCCCCAACTTTATCGAGAACACACGCAAAATGTTAAAATTGGTGAACAGTCCCAATTCATTGATCAAGAGCTGTGGATCTCCGAAAGAAAACGACCAGAACACGGTGAATATCGACATTCCACGGACTTTCACTATTGTTTTTTTCAACCTCGCAAGCCAGATGATTTTTCGCCGCTCTGTCACCTTGTTGTTCTAACAAATAACGAAACAACGATTCATAGACAGAGAAAAGAGAGAAAAGAGAGAGACTTTTTTCCAGGCGACGATTCCGCGCGATGCATGACGCTTTAGGATTGCATGAATTTTTCTGAATTTTGTGTTCCATTCTGTGTGGGCCCGTCGTGGATTTTTCCGCGGAGCAGCATGAACTCATCCTTCACTGAAGCATGCCGGCCGACTGCGAACGCGCGAAGCTCAGTCGACAACCAAGGTCCGTCATTTTTTGCCGAATTTTTTCTTTTTGCCCCTTCCGATGTGAAAACTTCGTTATACACCGCTCAATTGGATTCCCCTTTTGTTCCGTTCTCTTTTCTTTTTTTTTTTTTTTTTTTTTTTTTTCAACGTCCGCTCGTAATTGCGCGTCCTTTTCCCCCCGCGTTTTTCTCCCCCTCCTTCTTTTTTTTTTTTTTCGCTCGTCTCGCGTTCGATAGACCAGTATCGAAAAACGAACGGCCCGCCCGTTCGCTTAAATTACCGATTCGCTACCGTTTCATTACCATACACCGCCGCTCAAAAGTCTCAAGGCAAGTGCTGCACCAATGCAAACGTTAAACATACGAGACACTGACATAGAACAACAGAACTACTGATTTCAGTACTAAACTATTCACAATTGTCGAAGCGTAAATCAATATCAATTTTTGACGAAAAAGAATCTCGTCTTTTAGCGTATCTGCAAAATCAAGAAACAAATTTGACAACTCCAACAACATCAGAAACGGAAGACTTGTCCAAAGACTTTTGAATCGAAGTGTACATCCGTCGTGGATGATTTTCCTTCGTTTTTTTTTTTTTTTTTAACTTTCGATGCCTGCTGTCGCGTATCGCGACGAGCAGAGGTGTCGAAATCGACGGTGCTCCCTCAAATGGTACCTGCATTCTTCATCCGCTCTCTTCTCTTTTTCCGCTTTCGCGCGAAATTCGAAACGCAGAGAGCTCCGATATCGACGCCAGCCTGCTCGGATTCTCTGCAAGGGATCTCGCAGTCCGTGCAGCAACAGCAACAGCAACAGACGCAGCAGCAGCAGCAGCAGCAGCAGCAACAACAACAACAAGCGAACCAGCAGCAGGAATCACTGTGCTCGGAAATGGCGCGGGAACTGTGCCGCGCGTTGCGCTGTCACGCGTCCTCGCGACGACGGCGCGCCTGCGAGAAATGCTCGACCCACGTGCTCGGCTATCCGCCGGACAACCCCACTGCCACCCCCTTGAACGGGATGAGATCGCAGGTAAATTTCTCGTAGCCGAGTTCCCTTCAACTGATTGCGAACCATAACGAGCGACCGAACAAAATAACTCGTCGCTTTCTTTTCCTTTTGAGCTCGTCAAGTGCGACATCACTGGATAGAATTGATGAAGAAGTAGTGAACTTATCATTCGTTTTGCCTGGCTTGCATTTAGTTGCATAAAGTATTTACATATGGAGAACACTATCATTTATTGACACTGTGGTCTCATTCAAGCGTTGTAATATCTACTGTCTCTGAACATTCGACCCTTCTAACGTACAATTACAAAACTAAGAAACCTAAGAATAATTGAATTTTTGAACTTTATTTATGCAAATCATACTACACTCAGACTGTTTGATTTGATGACTCTTTCTACGTCCAACAGTACATATTTATTCTAATTTACAATGGCAAAATAAGAAACTTAAGAATAATTGAATATTATTTACGTGTGTAATCATACTACATTCAGAATTGATTTGATTTTGTGATTAAGACTCTTCCTGTATCCAGCAGTACGTACTGATCAGTTTATGTATGTGTCCTAGCTGCATGTTTTTTTTAAATCGCGTATTAACACAGAGAAAGAAGAAAGAAGATCCAAATCAACACAATGACAATCCTTCTCCAACTGCGAGACAAATGAACCAAAGTTTGAACGAGGACGTTGTCCAACATCAACCTGTAATTTTCTCTCGTTGCAGAGAAGCAGCCTGGGTGTTCCCACAGTCGAACTGCCGCCACACGTTCACATGCATCATCACGCACCACCGCCACACGACTACGACGGGACTTAAACTCTGATCTTAAACGCTTTTCGCGAAAGATCACGAAACCTAGGGCCTAACGAACGAAGAGGATCGGACTAGATGAAAAACAAAAAAAAAAGAAAGAACAAAAGAAAACAAAGAAAGACGAGAAAATAAAAAGCGAGTGAGAGTAAACGACGGAGGACAAGCAAACTTCGTTAGAAGAGAGAGGATCGAAGCGAGACGACCGAGAAGAAAGTACAAAAACGCATCAAGTAGCATCGGACGGACAGATTCGACCAGTTCGTTCCCTTTTCCATTTCTTTCTTTTTTCTTTTTTTTTTCTCTCTCTCTCTCTCTCTTTCTGTTTTTAGAAGTCAAAGTAGAAGTCAATCCCGCCGCGAGTGTCTCACACACACGTCGAGAAATCACCGTTGCACGAACGTTGCACAATTTCTATCAAGGATCGTGCGTTCGTCCGTCGAACACGAGCGAGAGAAGGACATCTCGTGTTCCTCGCGAATCTGCCCTTCCTTTTTCCTTCTTTTTCTTTTTTTTTTTTTTTTTCTTCAACCGAGAACACGGACTCGTTTCACTTTCCACCGTAGAAACTCTGCACCGAGAGACGACTCGTTCGTGTACGTTGTTCGGAGGAATCGATCGATCGTGGAGATGGAAAATTGCTCGCGATGGAAAATCTATCGTTTTCGACGAGGTCCAGTATCGTTTCTCGATTCTCGTCTGGCCATCTTTTGGCCATTTCTCATCAGAATCGCGCAGAGATACTATTTATCACGGGAATTCGAGGAACACGTGTTTCGATGATCTACGTACGTCATTTCGAGAGACAGAGAGATCTTTCGAGCTCTTGTTTGTCCGAGTTGATTTCTCTGGATGAAATGGTACCGCGTAATTCTAATAAATTGAGATGTTAACCCTCAAATAGTGTCATTGAGTTATGAACTTTTCTAAAATCTAAGGTATCTAATTTTGTATTTTATTATGTTTGGTGATCATAATATTTTCCTCGGTTAATCGAACGAAGGGAGTTTTCTCAAGCAATGATCTTTCTCTATCACTGTGTTGTAATTCAAATAAATTGAGATATTAACTCTCAAGTAATGTTATTGGGTTACAAGTTGGTTTATAAACAGATTACTAAAATTTTAGGATCTTCGATACTGTTTTATATTTTACATTCTTTGTGATAAAAATTATTTATTATTAATTATTTAATTATTTAATATTATTATAATCGAACGAATTGAGAGAAAAATTCATTCTTCGCGACATTTCTCTATTATAGATTAATCGAATGGAGAAAGATTTTTCAAGAGGTTTACAGTGATATTTCTCGAAATTTCAATTAATAAATTGAGATACTAACTCTACTAAATAATATCAATTTTATTATACATTTCATATTCTTTGCAATAAAGGTCAACAACGAAATCGAATAAAATTAAAAATTCCAGAACTAAAACAATTTAACTCTAAAATACTTATAACCCCTAATGATACTAGCTAGGAGTTGATTGAACAAATTAGCACATTCAGCTGGTCATCTCAAATTCAATTTCTGATTTCGTTGGTTACCATATTAAGCAAGTTTTCAACATATTATTTGCTTCAGTGAGAGGGAAGCCAAGCAATGATCTTCATTTTACAAAGTACCAACCAACAGAGAGACTGCTTGATCAAATTTGTCCATTTCGAAACACGATCCTCGAGTATTACTTGCAGGTAGCGCGACCTGTAGGAAATCCTAGATCCCAGACTGTTCAAAAGGTTGTGAAAATGTTCGACTTTTAATTCCGCGTATGTAAACGAGGTTCGAGCAATCGATTTTTAGGCTGAGAACAACTTCCTGCCCGTACTTACTTGCATTCCGTATCGTGTGTTGGAGGGAAATTCCCGTTCGAATCCCCGGAGAATTGAATAAGAACACGTCGCTTTCCACGAGTTTTCTTCCCTTTTTCGACGAGGCGATACGACTTTCGTCTCACTTCGGCGTTTCCTGTACCTTTCTTCTTTTCTTTCTTTTTCTTTCCTTTTTTCTTCGTTCCACGCAACAGTTCACGATCACGCGATCGATCGTAGAAATCGGAACGGGCCAGTAAAGGCGGTGAAACCGTCGATCCGGGGCCGTTTCTTTTTTATCCTTTTGCGTCCACGTACGCGAACCGCACCGTAAATGATTCTTGCATACCTAAACAACCACACACACACACACACATGCACACACACACATAGAGACACACGTAAATACAGGCTCGTGTAAATACCGCGGCGGCACGCGCGAAAGTAGACGATTCCATTTGCGAGTATTTTAAGGTAAAACTTTGCGAGAAGAACAAGCGAGCTAATTATTTAGAGTTAAAGAAAAGAAGAAAAGAAGAAGAAAAATAAAACAAGTAGACGTTTGGTGTCATTTCACGTGTGTATATGCAAGATAGACGGCGAATAAACGTAAGGCATGACGATGGACGTGGATGGATCGTTTTCATTCCTTCAAATGATTTCATTCCTTTAAATTCACTGTCGGATTGTTTTTTTTTTTTTTTTGGAAGGACAAAGCTGTTTTCTTATTTCATTGCTTCAGTTTCGTTGAAGAAACTTGAACACACACGGTTTATAAAAAGAATTTAATTGCAATTCTTTCGTTTATCAACGATATACATCTCAGACGATTTTGTTTAAAAAGTTATAGAATTTTAATTTCCTGTAGAAACACCGTTGGTGGAAATCGTCGAGTAGTGGAAATCTTCAATAAATATACTATTAACTAACACATCATGATTCGTTAATATTACAGATATTACATTGTTCGAGATATTCTTCTTCTACAATGGTGTTATTGAATTAATTGTTTTATTTTTTGATATATTGAAGCATTTCTTCCAATTAGTAGAAATGTCAATTTTACATCTTTAATATATAGTTAATGTAGTAATTAATTGCGAATTAAATGGTAGCGAAATTTGTAATCACGAAAAAACTTCCAACTAGGAAAAGGTCATATGCACGTGCAATGTGTGTATATCTAAAATATACAAAATTAATGTAAATTTGGTGTAATTTGTTATTGGAATTTCCTTGTAACTTTAAATTACGTTACTATTTAACTGTGTATTAAACTAAATCATCTATCGATTAGAAAAATTATTGCAAGATATTAGAAAACAACTGATCCAATGACACCAGTTACAAGAGCAACAACATCTCATCATGGTGTTTATTAATAAAATAAATTCTTCTATACTTGTTCATTCGTCGCAAGAAAATGACAATAACACTAAATTGTAAGGTAAGTTTAAGAAACAACGTATGTTCATCAATGACAAACACTTTCCAATTGATCAATTTGACTTCTGAACTCGCTTCGCTTATTGATCTCTGATTTTTACGCAAGTAGCCTTCAAATCGCAAATGATAAAACGTGACGAGATCGAGGGGTCGAACGAAATTACGTAAAAGTAGATTGTTCAACGCGAAAAATTGTCGAGAGGGAGATTGAAACTTTATGTATAAAAAAAGGAGTGTGCAAATTTGAAACGTATCGTGTATCTTTTCTTTTCTTTTTTTTTTTTTTTTATATAACATCATTTATTAAGGGATAAAATAAATGACAAATAACATATCACTTATACGAAACTATAACATTTCTTAAACTGTTCATCATTCGTTATGATATAAAAGAAATCACATCACATACGACCCTCCACGTAACGCTTCGCACGCTCGTGTCAGCTCGATTTGCGCGCAATTTCATCGTAAGCGATCCTCCTTCCTTTCTCCCCCCTATCGTTCGAAAACTTCGAAATCCTTTCACACTACGAATAATAATAATAATAATGATAATAATATAATAATAATATAATAATAATGATAATAATAGTAGTAATAATAATAGCGGTAATAATTAAAATACACGATCGACATCGACTCGATCGACTAAAATGGACGAAATGGACAACGAAGAAAGAAACGACCACAACGTAATTTTTGTTAATGAATTCCATGTACAGAATTCAAACAACAGCGTCTCACGCCGCGGCCCATGATTAGATTAGGCTTCGACCGCGTCGCTTAATCGAATCAACGTGACCGTGATGTTACAGGCGGAGTCGCGCGTAAATGGAATTCCTTGGAGCTTTTCGTTTAATCCTTTATTTCAATCCTTTAACAATGATATAACTTTTGGATCGTCTCGCGAAGAGGCAAAATACTTACTACAACTGTAAAAAGTTCGAACCGAATTTGCAATATATAATATATAAAATATACAATGATATAATAATTATAATTAATCGATCAACAGGTTAACTAACACCCATCAGTTGATTATTAAGTGTTAGTTAAAATCGATCGATTGCAATTTTATCGTACACGACGGCTCGATTCCGATGATCCACGTGTCCGGAAAACGGAAAACGGAATTACCATTGTTGAAGGATCGAACGAACAAAAATGACTGAAGTAGGTAAAAAAAAAAAATATACATATATATATATATATATATATATATATATATATATATATATCGGGTTATAAACGTATAAAAATCAAAGGGATTTGCGATCGCTGCAGATCGAACAGATTCGAGCTCACACCAGCGTGTCTTACTTCTCTCTCTCACACACACACTCTCTTTCTCTCTCACTCTCTCTCTCTCTCTGATACAGTATAATAATAATAATATAACCGACTTAATCCATTTTGGAAGGGCCTAGTCAAATCACAATTATCACGATCATACTTGACAAGGTGGCTTGTAAATGTTTTCCATTTTTTCCCTTTTTTATCTTTTTCATCATTTTTCTTTTTTTCTTTCTCGCATTTTTTTTTTTTTTTTTTTTTTTTTTTTTTTTTCCCCTTTTTTTTATTGTATTGTGTGCTCGTTTTTCTTTTTTCTTTTTCTTCTTCTTCTTCTTTCGTGACTTTTTCGGAGGTGGCTCGAGCTCGATGAACGATTTTTTTTCTTCTTCGATGATGCACACTCGTACTGTATATTAATTATATAGTGTGTTTGTGTACGTATCTGTGCGAGCCTGTCCATCGTCGAAGTTGCAAAAAAAAAAAAAAAAAAAAAAAAA